GGTTTATCAGTCTTGTTTATCTTCATAAAACCAGCTCTTGGTTTTATTGATCTGTTTCTTGTTTTTTTTTTTAGACTTCATTTCATTTATTTCCATTCCACTCTTTGTTATTTTCTGCCTTCTACTCACTTTGGGCTGTGTTGGCTCTTTTTCTAGGTTTGTTGTTTTATTTTAAGATTTTATTTATTTATTTTTAGAGAGAAGGGAAGGGAGAGAAAAAGAGGGGCAGAGAAGCATCAACATGTGGTTGCCTCCCCTACACTCCCCACCGGGGACCCAGGCATTTGCCCCGACTGGGAATCGAACTGGCAACCCCCTGGTTCATAGGCCGGCACTCAGTCCACTGAGCCACACCAGCCAGGGCATTTTTTCTAGGTTTTTTAGGTGTGAAGTTAGATTGTTTATTTGTGATTTTTCTTTTTTCTTGAGGTAGGCCTATAATGCTACGAATTTCCCTGTTACTGCATTTGCTGTGTTCCCTAGATTTGGAGTTGTTGTGTTTTCATTTTGTTTCAAGATCTTTTGATTTCATACTTGATCTCATCATTAATGCATTATTTAGTAGCCTGTTATTTAGTCTCCATATGTTTGTGTGTTTTCAGTCTTTTTCTTGTAATTGGTTTTTAAGGTCATATCATTGTGATTGGTGGAAATGCTTGATGTAATTTCAGTCTTCCTCAATATATTGAGACTTGTTTTGAGCCTTAACATTTGGTGTATCCTAGAGAATGATCCATGTGCACATGAATAAAGTGTGTGTTCTACTGTGATGAAATGCTCTGAAAATATCAATTAAATCTATCTAGTCTAGTGTGTAATTTAAGGTTGGTATTTCCTTGTTGGTGTTCTGCTGGAAGATCTATCCATTGACGTCTATGGGGTGTTAAAACCACCTACTATGACTGTATTGCTGTTGATCTCTCTTAATGTCCATGAAGATTTGCTTTGTATATTTGGGTGCTTCTGTATTTGGTGCATGAATGTTTACAAGGGTTATTTTCTTGTTGGATTGAGTCCTTTATAATTGTGTGGTGTCCTTCTTTGTCTCTTATTAAAGCCTTTGTTTTAAAATCTATTTTGTCTAATATAAGTCCTCCTACCCCAGCTTTTTATTCATTTTCATTTGCATGAAATATCTTTTTCCATTCTTTTTACTTTCAGTCTGTGTATGTCTTTTAGTGTATCTTTTATTCTGAGGTGAGTGTCTTGTAGACAGCATTTATACAGGTCTTTTTTTTTTAAATTCTCATCTAAGGATGTTTTTATTGATTTTAGAAAGAGAGAGAGAGAGAGAGAGAGAGAGAGAGAGAGAGAGAGAGAGAACATCCATCAGTTGCCTCCCGTATGCACCCTGCACAGGGATCAAACCTGCAACCTGGATATGTGCCCTGATCGGAGATCAAACCACAACCTTTTTGGTGTATGGGATGACGCTCCAACCAACTGAGCCTCCCAGCCAGGACTGAGTTCTGTTTTCAGCTACCCTATGTCTTTTGATAGGAACATTTAAGCCATTTATATTTAAAGTGATGATTGTTAGATATGCATTTATTGCCATTTTATCTTTTAACTATGTTGTTTATTTTTTCTCCTCCTCTTCCTCTCCTTCCCCTCACTTTTCTTGCTCCGCTGGTTTAGTGGTAACAAATGCCTTTAGCTTTTTCTTGCCTGGGAATCTATTTTCTCTTAAATTTTAAATGTCAGCCTTGCTTGGAAATCTTGGTTGTAGGTCCTTGCTTTTCATCATTTTGAATATTCCTTGTCAGTCCCTTCTGGCCTGAAATGTTTCTTTTGAGAAATCAGCTGACAGTCTTATGAGAGTCCTCTGTTGATAACTAACTGCTTTTCTCTTGCTGCTTTTAAGACTCTTTGTCTCTAACCTTTGCCATTTTATAATGCTGTGTCATGGGCCTCTTTGCATCCATCTTTCTGAGACTCTCTGTGCTTCCAGACTTGTGTGTCCTTTTCCTTTGCCAGATGCAGGAAGTTTTCAGTCATTATTTCTTCCAATAGGTTCTCAATCCGTTGCTCACTCTTTTCCCTTCTGGTACCCCTCTGATCAGATGTCGTTACACTTGATATTTTTCCAGAGATAATCAAACTATTCTCATTTGGTTTTTTGTTGCTCTGATTGTTTTCTGCTGCCTTATCTTCCAAATCACTGATTAGATCCTCTAACCTGCCATTCTTTCTAGTGTAGTCCTCTTTCAGATATTGTAGTCTTCATTTATGCTTGGTTCATTTTTATGGTTTCTTTGTCCTTTTTTGGTTTACTATCTCTTCTAATTCTCACTGAGTTCATCCATTCTTCTCCAAGTCCTTTGAGCAATCTTATAAGATTGTTTTGAACTCTGTATCTGGTAGATTGCCTACCTCCATTTTATTTAGTTCTTTTTCTGGCGTTTTCTCCTATTCTTTTGTTGGGGCATGTTTCTTCGTCTTCCCTTTTGTCTGCTTCTCTAGATCTGTTTCTGTGTATTAAGTAGAGCTGCTGTGCTTTGTGGTTGGTAGGGCGGCCTTAGGTTAGTGGGTGTCCTGTGGGGCTCAGTGGCACAGTCTCCTTGGTCACCTGAGCTGGGTGCTCCAGAAAGGTCTCTTTTATGGATTATTTGTCACCTCCTGTTGTTGTTGAGTCTTGATTGCTGTTGGTTCCTCCATTGGTGTAGGTGACCCTTGGGCTGGCTGGCTATGAGGATCAACCCCAACTGCAGTGTATGAGCTGCTGTGTGAGGACTGACCCCACAAGCAGAATTCGCCCCAGCAGTCTTCTGTTTGCTAAGATCTCCCTTTGGGAGTGCTGCTTGTGAAGCTAATTGGTTCCTGCTTTGTGGTCTGAATTCCTCCACCTGCTGCGTTCGTTCTGGGGCCTCTTGGGAGTGACTGTGGTACAAGTCAATATCAGGGCTACCTGTCTGGTGCTACAAATCAATCCCCAGTTTTTGGTTGTTCTGCTGGGCCTGAGTGTGCATGGGAGAGGCCTAGCTGCCAACCAGGGCCAGTCTCCACCAGCACCGAGCCTGGGGACGGGTCAGCAAAAGTCCCAAGGCACCCTGAGATCTGCCTCCACCTGCTGGCTGGCTGTCAGGCTCAGTCACTGAAAGAGCTTTTGACAGTATCCAGGTTTTTTAACAGTTGCATGATATAGGTTCTCAGTGAGTCAGCAGGAAGAGGCAAGGGGTATTCACAAGACTGATAGATTTAGAATTAGCACCAGGACTAGGGCTGAGGCTGTTCAGCGGAAGTCTCAGGGTATAACCAAGACCAGCCCCACCCTGTGGGTTTTTGTGGTGAGGTAGGGTCTGAGGGAGTCATCTGCTGGTGCCGAGGCCAAACAGCAGTTTTTCAGGCCCAAAGAGACCACGATTTCACCGTACGATAGGAGGGCTCTGCACAGGATCAGTAGCACCAGTTGGGCATATAGGGAAAATGGCCTTCACCCTAGAGCCACACAACTTAGTCTGTCCCTGAGTCTCCAGATCTCCTTGAGAATCTTCCAGAGACTTTCAAAGTGTGTTCCAGAGTATGTTCCAAAGGCTGTGCTGGCCACAGCCAGCTGACTCTTTTTGCAGGGCACAAGTTTGACAGAGTGGGGCCATGGGGACTTATAAGGATGGGGCTAGTGGATCTTGGGGGCAGGGGATAGCCCCTGCCGCAAAGCCATGCAACAACCTCTGACACCCACCCTGAGTTTACTCTCAGGGGCCCTTCAGGAAAGTCTACACACTGTGAACCAAGCCAGCTGACGGCTCTGCAGTCAGGAGCTCAGCTGGCGTGATGCCAGGGAGTCGGAGGGTGGTGCTGCAGGGTGGGGAGGGCTCAGCCCAGGAAAGGTGGTGTCTATAGGCTGCACGGGAGAGGGACTCAGCACGGGGACCGTGACAGCTGCCCCTTTTGCTTTCTCCCTGGAGCCACGCAGTCCGGCCTGTCCTCACCTAAGTCCATTTCACTTCAGTCTGCTCTCCCTCTGCTGGAGACCAGGGTGAATGGCTGCCAATGAGATTTTGTACACTGGCCTGTGAGACAGGGCGCCTAGGTTCCTAGCAGACTCCATTCTACCCCTGGCAGAGAGAATCCCCGCTGACTTTCACTGCCAGATGCTATGTGGGCTCCTGTTCCCGGCTCTGGTGCTCTGGGCTCGGGAGCCTGAAGTGGGGTTGAGACACACTCCTCAGAGAGGACCTTTGCAGCTTGAGCTATCCCTCCAGATTCTCAACAGCCACACATGGGGCAGGGCCAGCCTTTTTTGCATCTCTGCTCTTCTTACCAATTTCAATGCAGCTTCTTCTGTAAATCCTTGGTTATAAGACTTCTGCTCAGCTAGTCCTCAGTCAGTTATTGAGATTGCTTGTTTTATAATTTAATTTAAGTCCAGTTTGGACTGGGAAGGATATGAGTGTAACTTTTATCTGTCCCATCGCCATCCTGGATTCCCCCCAGAAACTTTTCTTTGACAGTCGTCTCTGTGGAAAAGGCTGGTTTTAGGAGCCCTTTCAGAGCTTGCAAGCCTCGAGCCAGCACTCCCGCTCGCTGACCTCCAGGCACCCGGTCACATGTGAGACTCCCAGCCTGACCAGTCCCAGTCTGTCGTGGCATTCCCCTCTGACAGACAGGCAGCTGTAGCTACTGCCTGGCCAAAACTCTTTGTCACAGATCTGCCATTGCTCTCTCCTGAGAAAACACAGTGCCATTGCTTTTGTGTTGCCCTCCCTTTATGTAACTATACAGTGGTGTCGTACTTTAGAACCCAGAAGGAAAATACACTCACCTGAAAGCTTGCTTGTTTTAGAAACTCATGCTTGAATTTAACATTGACACTTATTTAATCAATGTGGTGCTCATTTAACATCAAAAGAACAAATGCACCTGTATCCACCCCAGAGAACGGGTCTGGGAGGGGCGGCCTGACCACCGCGGGCTACGCACTCGCTGTGGGCAGCCGTCGTGCCACCCTGCGTGGCCGCCCAGGCTGCTAGCACTGATGGCCGTGCCCTGGCCCGCAGCCATTGAAGCCATGAAGAACGCCCACCGGGAGGAGATGGAGCGTGAGCTGGAGAAGAGCCAGCGGTCCCAGATCAGCAGCATCAACTCGGACATCGAGGCCCTGCGGCGGCAGTATCTGTAAGTCAGTTTCCTGCCCTCGGGAGGGTGGCCTTTAAGATGGGAAAGGGTGCCTTTCCTGTGGTTTTTGTAGGAGCCACACAGATGCCGTCCTGAGGGTGGCCCCGGTGTGGGCCCAGGAGCCTTTTCTCCAGAGGGGCTGGGGGCTGTTGAGGGCCGGCCAGCCGCTGGCTTTCATGGCCCAAAAGCTTCCTGTTACTAAAACAAAGAGGAACTAATTACTGAAGTCTAAAGACTAAGGTGCAGCAAAGGGAAAGGCATAACTGTTAGCCATTTTTCAGGCCTGCCCCCAGGCCATGCCCAGAATTCGTTTTATCCATCAGCTCCTGCTGCCTCATTGCTTGTGAGAAAGGAACCCAGCCTCAGGCCTGATGCCTGGCGCTGATGGTTGCGTGGCAGAGGTGGCCGCGTGCCCTGCGTTTTTTAGAAGTGCACGTGCTGATTCCACCTGCATAAGCAAGAGAGGGAAGGGCATGCAGCAGCGTAGCTGCTCATATTTTTCCCTCTGAGAGCTAACACCACTTGGAACCCTTGAATTTGTTGCTGTGAAAGCCATGCAGAGCCAGCCATTACCAGGGTCTTTGTAATATAAAAGAATTGGGGTCCCTGCCCCTTCGCAGGGCTCCCATGCAGTGCAGTCAGAGCCAGGGAGGAGTAGGTGGCCCCCGTGGACTGCAGTCACACTCATCCCTGCTGGAGGGGGTTGCAGGGCCCAGATGCCCTGTCCGGAGGCCCCGCCTCCTCAGCTCCGCCCACGAGAGATCCAGCCCTTCTCGAGGAGTCCAGGGCAACCCAGAACTTCATCACAACACTTTGATTTTTTATGGGTGGATGCAGCCTGCTACTGGGTTATCAGACACGGATTGCCTCAAAAGTTAGAGGTGAAAACAAAGTGCAAATCTGACTTTTCTCAGAAACAGGACATTTGTTTTAGCACAAGTGAATGAATTCTCTCCTGACTTCACAAGAGTTTTGTCTGTGGGGCTACTAAGCTACTTGAAAGAGGATGAGGGAAGGGCACAGAATAGATTTCTATAAACATGAGGTACTTTTAAAGTTTTTTCTCATTTAGCTGGGTCCAAACCTCTTGAGACAACAAAATGCATAGGGCCTGCTCCACAGAACTGTTGCTCGACGGTTCTTTCTGACAACAGTCTCATTGCCCCTCAAGCTTCGCAGTGGGGACACAGAACCAGCAGAGGCCTGGGCCCTGGAGGGGAGGGGGCAGAGGAGTGAGTGGTGCTCTGTCCCCAGGGAGGAGCTGCAGTCGGTGCAGCGGGAGCTGGAGGTCCTCTCTGAGCAGTACTCACAGAAGTGCCTGGAGAACGCCCACCTCGCCCAGGCGCTGGAGGCAGAGCGGCAGGCCCTGCGGCAGTGCCAGCGTGAGAACCAGGAGCTCAACGCCCACAATCAGGTGAGCCCATGCTCAAGCTGGGGGCCAGGCCTCGATTTCCGGGTGGCCCTGACTCCCTTGGGGCACCTCCCTGACTTCTGGCGTCTCCCAGTATGTGGACAGAAACTCACCCCAGATGGCGGAGCTGTGGCCGTCGTGCTGTGTGAACCAGCTCTTCACGCCTGGCTCTGCGACGTCTCAGTTTCTTCCCCAGTGTCTCTGAGTATCTGCTTTGTCGTCGCTGGACAGGGCCTGGCAGGGTCATCGCACCCTGTCCAGGTCTCTTTGTCCCCAAGGCGAGGACCAGGTCTAAATGTCTCCCAGTCAAGACCGTACACTGCTCACATTTATTTTTGTCCGGGTATTCTCAAAATTGCCCTACTTCTCAGAAAATTGGGGTGCATTTAAAATCCTGGCTAATGGATAGACTAGAGGTAGGTTTAGTTTGATAAAAGCTCTGTGGGCACCAAATTGGACCTCCATCCTCATGACCACCGCTCATCTCCCCAGGCACTGAGCAGCCAGACTTGTCAGCCAGGTTCAGGCTCAAGGCCTTCACGGGCCCATGGCCACCCCATACGAGGGCACTCCAGCAGGACTGTTTCTGCTTAGTCACTGCAATGGCCTGATGACCATCTGTCAGTTGGAAAGAAAGTAGGGAAAGTGAATGGGAGGGGAGCAGGAGGGCCTAATCTTACAGAAACTCAAATGGGACAAACCATAGAACAGATAAACGCTAGTCATAGTGATAAAAAAGTATGAAGAATAGTAGAACCCTGCATAGACGTTTCTACAAAATACAGCACCCATGCAAATGACTTCTACAGGGATGTAAATTGCAGGCTGCTATACCCGCACATGTCAAACCTAAAAAGCTATAGTGTGTGCAAGCACTGCTCATGGCCTGCCTGTGTCTGCTCGTGTTTGCTTTGTATTCTGAGAAAGCAACCTCTCCCGGTTGTGTTATGTGATTGAGGCCCCCAAGAATCTCTGCTGAGCGTCCCTGTTTTGTTGCTCTGTTTGCTGACCCCAGGAGCTGAACAACCGCCTGGCTGCGGAGATCGCCCGGCTGCGGACACTGCTGACTGGAGACACCAGCGGGGAGGCTGCCGGCTCACCCCTCACACAGGGCAAGGATGCCTATGAGTTGGAGGTACTGCTCAGAGCCTGGCTCTCTCTTCCCCAACCTCTGCACTGCACAGGCCCCACGTGGGGACCAGGGAGTAGCCCAGAGCTGATAGAATCACTACAGGGAGGAGACCTAGAAGCAGCTGGAGGAAAAGACCATGGAAAGATCCAAATCGCCCCAGGGCAGCCAAAGAAAACGGGTAGCTCCCAGGCAGCATGGGACCCCTCTTGTGCTGTGGGGACCTTGAACCCCATGCTCACTCCCCTGCTCTCCTCCCCTCTGCTTCTGCCACACCACAAACACTGGCCACCTAAAACGAAACAGTTAATAACTATGTGGACACTGTAGCTGCTTGAGATTCTATAACACTCTATTATTCAGAAACAGGTAGGTTCATCTTAAGGTAGAATTATTATTGGTTTTTATGTATGAGACAGTGTTCTGTGAAAGCACTTAGATTTCTTTCCATTCAATTAAAATTTCATAATGAAAACATATCCTGCTAAATGGTGTGGAAGAGGCGGAGTGCATTCAACAAAAGTTTCAACAGGACGCCTTCATGGATGCTGTCTCAGGCCCAGTCCCAGGAAATCGCAGGGGCTCCAGGCTGAGGATGAGGGTGCTCAGGTCTAGGAGGGATTACGGCAGTCATCCTTCCTTCTGTGTCTGTCTGTAATGTTTAAGCTGTTAGTCGTGTTTAAATTTTATTTGCTGGTATTTTCGATTGTATATTGATGAGCATGAGAAGAGAGTTGCCTGCTCAACCCTCAGTCTTTGCTCTCAAGACTGTGGAAGTCCTTTCGCTCTCTCATTCTAGGTCTTACTGCGAGTCAAGGAATCAGAAATACAGTACCTAAAACAGGAGATCAGCTCTCTCAAGGATGAGCTACAGACGGCCTTGCGGGTACGGGCACATCCCCACAGGGGTGGATCTGTAGGATGGGCTCAGGGTGGGGTAGGGATACACGTCTTCAGAACTCACAGAGGTCCCTGTGTTCAGCAAGTACCTTAGGCTGTTCTCGGATAGATTTTATTTTCATGAGGAATGTGTTTTCAAAATTGAGTTCTCTTAAAAACCAGCTTCGTGCAGGTATGGTGAAAACAAGGGGTCTGCCTGGTCTCCCTGTGCCCTTGTTGTTCTCCGTGCCTCCTTTGTGCTTTGGCAGGACGGTGAGACACAAGAGAAACGTCATCCTGGGAAGTGAGAGTTCGGTCAGTTGCCAGTCTCCTCCAGGATCCCTTAGGAAATCTAAGACAGAGAGGGAATTTTGCAGACCAGAATATAGGGAGGTCCTTGGGTTGACCAGCCCACACTACGCCTGAGCTTACAAGAGTCCCCCTGGGATCCTGTCTTGTGTTCAGACGGAGACCCTCAGCTCTGCCTGTTTGAGTTTGTGTCCAGTCTCTGCCTTTGGAAGACCAGGCAGGGTCAGCCTGCCCTCTTTGCTGCTGATGCATTCCCCAGGCAGTCCCTAGAAGCGTTCCAGCCCTGGGCGACAGACCACCTCACCTGGTTGTGACCACTGTTTGCTCTGACCTTTTATCTTCAAGGACAAGAAATACGCTAGTGACAAGTACAAAGACATCTATACAGAGCTCAGCATCGTGAGGGCAAAGGCTGACTGCGATATCAGCAGGTTGAAAGAGCAGCTGAAAACAGCCACAGAAGCACTGGGTGAAAAATCCCCCGAGAACACCCCTGTGTCAGGATATGGTGAGCAATTCAGGCTCTGGGTTGTGACTCGGTAACTCATGGGGATTCGTTCAAAGAGTTACTGGGGCTTGAGTAAGAGCAGAGAATTGGTTTTTATGTTTCTGATTTTAGACTTACATACCTCCTCACCAAGAACAGCCAAAGAAAGGGGTGCTGGCCTATGGTCTGGCAGGTGTCCTGGGGCAGGGAACCGTTCTCCTGTAGGCGTCCTGGTGGCAGCCACTGTGCTGATTGCTCTGAGGGGAATCACGCCGTCAGTGCATATGATTATAGTAATGGCATGTCGTGTTTTTCCGTTTTCCTAAAGAACTCAATAGTTCGGTGGGAGAGGGTCGCACTAGTTGCTTGACCCTGGAGTTTCACGGTGAATCTGTGGGCGGCCGTGGGATGAGGAGCGGGGGGCGGGGGGGGAGGGAGTGCGCTCCCGACTGACAAGATGTCTTAGCTCACTGACACCCCAGAAGTTCAGGGTTTCTCTCAGCTAGCCAGAGATTAGGGGCCGTGGCCGCACTGACACATGGGTGGGGAGAACACTTTTTGCACCGCTGCTGGGATGATAAGGGAGCAGTCTCTCTGGAAGGCAGGGAGACAATTTAAGATCGAACTATAGGCTGACTTTGGGTGGGTAAAGAATCGATAACAGTGGCTGCTCCAGCGGAGAGCCCCAGGTAGCCAGGTGACAGTGAGAGAAGATGACTTAGAATTAGGGAGAGAACGTGTGCATTCTGTGACCTACCAATATGACTTCGGGAAAAAACATGCATAGAAATGTGCCAAAAGGGATATTTAGCACATAAATACAGGCATACAGGAGCAAAAAACTGATGCCACCTAAGCAGTCTTCTCCTCCCAACAAACAGAAGACTGTTTAAATTGTGACACCATTACATAGTGAACTACGGCACAGTTTTTACAAGAGATTAGATCGAGGAGCTCCCAGCCACGACGGCGGTGTAGGTAAATACCGCACTCGCACCCTCGCACAGCCACATCATGCTTACAGTGCCAGAACAACCGTCCTTCGGAATCATCTGCAGTCAGGCTGGAAAAAACTCCTGTAACTAAAAATATGATGAAGAAGCCACATTGACCTGGTAGGAGGGACAGAGAGGCAGAACGTGCTGGTCACCACCCATGTGTGGTGGATAAAAATTGGGACAGATAACTCGGAAGTGGAGGTTCCCCCCTGAGGAATCAAGAGGCCCAGCCCCAGGCCAGCCTCCCAGCCCAGGATTCCAGTGCTGGAAAAAGAAATCCCAATAACTTCTGGCTGTAAAAACCAGTGGGAGTTGAGGCTGAGTGAGACAAAGGGCTTCTGGAGTCCCAGGCAGTTCCTCTTAAAGGGCCCGTGCAGACTTACTTGGACTCACTCCCTCTGAGCTCCAGCACTAGACAGCAACTCAAAAGGTGCCAGAGACATGCAGGAGGAACTGAATTGTCTGGCCTGGGGACCGGGGCCGGAGGGGGAACGTTCTCGCCAACATGTGCGGACAAGCGCTGTCAGAGGCGTTGTCGCTTTGCCCTCCCCCACAGCTGGGTACCGTATCTGAATCTTATCAATCTGGCTGTTCCCCCACCCCAGTAATTCCCTAAGAATCCTGCCCTCCCCAATTTGCAGGTCCACCCAGGCAGTTTCCAGTGGCTTTTCCATATAAATGGTCTGTCTTGGCTCATGCTGTGGGCTTTACTAAGAAGTAAAGGCTTTACCAACCTCCCCACAAAAAACAGCATCTGGCCTTGCCATGCCCCATACCTCTTGCCAAGTGTCCCGAGGTTTGGCACTACTGTCAGCCGGCTTGGGTTCACAGCTTGGTCTCTCCCAGGCACCTTCTAGCCCAGCACAAGTAGCAGCCATCTGCAGATCACTCTGTAGCTCATGCTGGGTGGCCGTGGGCAGGGCACAGGCAGTGGCTGACCTTGGCTAGTGCACCTGGTAGAGAGCTTCAGTTCATACTGGCGCACCAAGCAACCACCTCCACAAGCAACATGCTCAAGAGGTGGACTCATTGGCCACAGGGGCCCTGCTGAAGCAAGTCCTGTTCCATGTATTTGGCCCCTGCACAACAACTCCACTGTGCTCCCAGCCAGCACGCCCAACCCATTGGTCTAGGGGTAAATCCCTGCCATTGATGCCAACATCAGTCAAGGCTCAACTACAACAGGGACGGGGCACACCTAGAATGCCAGGCTCCTGTGACAAGGGAGACTGCACCACAGGGCCATACAGGGCACCTATACTACACAAGGCCACTCTTCCAAGACTGGGAGATAGCAGCTCTACCTAATACATAGAAACAAAAACACAGGGAGGCAGCCAAAATGAGGAGCAAAGAAATATGCCCCCAAATGAAAGACCAGGGGGGAAAAACTCCAGAAAAAGAACTAAACAAAATGGAGACAAGCAATCTACTAGATGCAGAGTTCAAAACACTGGTTATAAAGGTTAAGGTTCTCAGTGAACTTAGAGGAACAGTGGATAAACTTGGAATTTCAACAGAGACATGGGGAACATTAAAATGGAGATAGAACACAAAAAACCGGTCAGAAGTGTAGAATACAATAACTGAAATGAAGAATACGTTACAGGAGAGCAACAGTAGAGTAGATGAAGCAGAGAATCAAATCAGCAATTTGGAAGATAAGGCAGAAAACACCCAATCAGAACAGCAGAAAGGAAAAGGAATACAAAAATTGAAGATCCTGTAAGGGGCCTCTGGGACAACTTGAAGCATACCAACATTCGCATCATGGGGATACTGGAAAGAGGGGAGATAAAGCAAGGAATTGAAAAGCTATTTGGAAAAACGACAGAAAACTTCCCTAACCTGGTGAAGGAACTAGACATACAGGTCCAGGAAGCACAGAAAGTCCCAAATAAGATGAACCCGAACAGCCCACACCAACATGCATCATAATTAAAATGCAAAAGGTTAAATAAAGACAGAATCTTAAAAGCAGCAGGAGAAAAGCAGTTAGTTACCTGCAAGAGAGCACCCAAGGAATTAAAAAGTACAACAGAAACTTTGCAGGCCAGAAGGGATTAGCAAGAAATATTCAAAGGGATGAAAATCAAGGATATACAACCAAGATTACCCAGCAAAGCTATCATCTAGAATCTAAGGACAGATAAAGAGCTTCCCAGATAAGAAAAACCTAAAGTTCACCACCGCCAAACCAGTATTACAAGAAGTGCCCTTTCAAAGAAAAGATATAAATAGTTAAATGGCAATACTTATCTATCAATAATTACTTTAAATGCAAATTGATTAAATGCTCCAATCAAAAAACATTTGACCCTGGCTGGTGTGGCTCAGTGGATTGAGCGCCAGCCTGAGAACCAAAGGGTTGAGGGTTCAATTCCCAGTCAGGGGACATGCCTGGGTTGCGGGCCTGGTCCCCAGCAGGGGGCGCGCAAGAGGCAACCATACATTGATGTTTTTCTCCCTCCCTTCCGTTCTCTCTAAAAATAAATAAATCTTAAAGAAAAATGCAATGGCTGAATGGATATGAAAACAAGACCCTTCTATATGCTGCCTGTAAGAGACTCACTTCAGATCCAGAGATACACAGACTGAAAATAAGGGGATGGAAAAGATAATTCATGACAATGAAAACAACCAAAAATGCTGTGGTAGCAATACTTCTATCGGACAAAACAGACTTCGAAACAGAGGCTGTAACAAGAGATGACAAGTACCCATGAAAATAAAAATTACTTTAAAAAAAAAATAAGATCAGTAAATATATTGATTTTAAAAAAACAAAAACCATACCCCCAGGACGCATGTATGGCCCAGGGTGTATTTGTTTAAGCGGTCATTTTCAAGAAGTTTTAAAGGACAATATACCAAGCTATTAATGGCTGTCTCGGTCGGGGGTGGATAATGAGAAGGACCTGGTCTTAGACTTCTGTGTAGTAACAGTTCTGGGTTCTCAGAAGGAAGGTGGGCAAACGAGTCGTGCCGAGAGTTGGTCTGCTCATCAGATAAGGCACAGCTGCCGAGGCAGGTGTCCCAGGCTGTCCCCACAGAGAGCGTGGCTTCGCCTGCCGTCAGACCTGTGTGGGCCGAGTGTCCCACGTACAGATGTCCTCCAGCTGTGCTTTGAGTTGTTCCCAAAAAGATCTAGTTATGTTTTACAGTTATGGCCTTTGATTTCTCTTAAAGTTGTTAAAGGAAATAATCAAGTTTTTGGCAATAAAATCAGCTTGAGAAATTTTTAAAGATTCAGTGTGGTTCCAGACAAATTTAGAAAACAAAGTGTAATGGGTTTGTTTGTTTCTTCAGATATAATGAAATCTAAAAGCAACCCTGACTTCTTAAAAAAGGACAGATCCTGTGTCAGTCGGCAACTCAGGAACATCAGGTCCAAGGTGGGTCTGGGGTCCAGGGCTGGGTATGTGGGGCTGGCAGAGGTCGGCAGAGGTCGGGGAGAGGAGCACAAGTCAGGGCCCCACACAGGCAGCCGTGGAAGGTCCCCGGGGCCTAGAGCTCGCCTGGCTCCGCATGCTGGCCCACCCTGCGCTGCCGGCTCTGGTGGCTTCACGCTTCCCGTCTCCCTCGTGCAGCGGAGGGGGCCGTGGCGTGAACTCCACCGTGCGCTCCCCTGGCCAAGTCCTGGCGCTGCCTGACCCCGTGCCCCAGCTTCGCAGTAGCAAACCCCCGGCAGTCAGCCCTGCCCTGCCGCGGCCTCCCCAGGGGAGGGGCGGGGGGGCGGGGGCGGGGAGTGATGAGCATGTTGCTTTCGGGATTTATTGTGTGTCTTATTTTTTGCTCTTTCCTCTGACAGTCCGTAATTGAGCAGGTCTCATGGGATAACTGAAACGAGCCCGCTTCCAGGTCCCTTGTCATGTAGGTAAACCCCCTCTTACCATCCACCCACCTGCCGCCCTCAAGAGGGCGCTACCTGCATGCACTGCTCACACCTCCATAGCAAACTCCTTGTTTTACTGTGACTTTATTTAATTCATGATGCTCCGGCAAGCACACACACAACCCAAGTGAAATCACTCTAACCTGTTCTGGGGGGTTAACTGGCACTTGACCCTTGTAACGCACTTGACCCCTGGCAGAGGGGAGCTCCCCTTCCAACTTGGTGCGCTGGCCCCCAGAGCCAGCTCCATGGGTGGGCTCACGCCCGGGCCAGCATGCATGTCGAATGCTCTGTGCACTCCGCTTTCTCTAGGGAAACCCCTCCTGCCTTCTGTCGGGAGGCAGCCGTGGCACACCAGAAGCCGCTGGCACTCAGAGCCCCCGGCACTGCAGCAGCCCACGCAGCCTGCGGCTGAGGCAGGCCCGAGCTGGGGTGTGCGGGCAGTGGGCCCCTTGCAGGCGTAGCTTGGGAAGGCAGCTCAGCAGAGCGCAATGACCACACATGATCGGGGTGCTCTGCCAGGACCCCTTCAACAAAGCCACAGTTTTCCCTGGGTGCCACTGCAGGCGGTGCTGTAAAGAAAGGCGGTGAGGAGGCTGGAGAGCTGACTGAGACACATCGCCTGTCTGAAAATGACTGGGAGGACCGTGGGCCTCGGCCTGGACACCCGGTCCCCACCAGAGGGCGGGCTGGGCTTCGGGGCACGTGTCCCTCGCTGCAGACGGTGCTCACCAGCTAAGCTGGCTCGACCTCATCAGCTCCCTGGTGCGGGGCTTAAAGGCAACAAGAGAACACGGGCTGGGCCAGGCTCCTGCCACGGGGACACTGACGTGGCCCCAGGGCTGGGCAGCATAGGCTCCTCCTGTCACAGCTCATCCCCCGTCAGGACACAGAGCGCCCCTTCCCCACCCCCGGCGAAGAGGCTTCAGCCCAAGGCTGGGGTGAAGGTTTTGCTCTTTAGGAAGAGCTTTATTTTATTGATATTTTGTTTATTCTTCTGCAGTCCTAAGTCACTTGTGGCCAAACGTGGTTTGGGCTTCATTGAAAACCTAGTTTGGCCTTTTTTTTTTTTTTAAGCGTGAAGAGCATTGTTTAGCCGAGGGGAAAGCTGTTCTGTAGTTTATAGGTTTCCCCTTGAAGGTCCCACGTTGGCGGCTTAGCCGCGGCCACCCTACGCTCCCCCGGGCTCGGGGTGACGGGTGGCACGGGGCTGCCGCTGGGGCCTCCCCAGGGCAGCCCTGCCGCCGCGCCCACCTCATCGGGATGGGAGCGGGGGCAGCGGACACGTCCCGGGGCCCTGGGCAAAAGGCCACAAAGTCTCTGGGAAGGCCTTTGCAGCAGGGCCTGCTGGGAGAACCTGCTGCACTGACCAGGACCCGCTAGAACAAAGGTAGGAAGAGACAACTGTTAGGCACACCCAGGGAGGGTCTCCCAACACAGGGTCTGCGTCCACGCTGGGCTTGGCCGCAGTTCCAGCATGGCACGAAGAAAGGCCTTGGCATGCGGGGCAGTCCTGCTGGCCCAGCAGGAAGTGTGGGGGCTTTGCAGATGGCCTCATGGACCCCTCCGGTGAGGCCGGGCAGGTCAGCAGGCACTCCCGTGAGGGTGTGTGCTGTCCTCTCCCCTGATTGTATTTGGAGACACCCCCAACCCCTCACAAGAGGATGGGGGTGAAGTCATCCTGAAATGGAATCTGCCACCGGTGCTTTTTGTGGATCTCACATGTGTGGCCTCACATCATTTATGCTGTTTCAGCATCATGCCTCACGTAAAAGGACGGAAAGTTTCAGCACCATAAGGTCAAAGCAAGCTTCTTGCTTAAGAACAGCACTGCTTTTCTGGGATTACACCCAGAAAGGGTGTTTCCCCGGACCCTCGTCGGGTGCTCACCGGAGGGACTGGCCCTGTGGGAGGCCTGAGCCCCCCGGGAGCCGGCTGCGCCCCGAGGGGCCCTCTCTGGGCGCCCAGGGCCAGGGCGCGTGCCTAACAGCGGTGGTGTGTGGCGCGCGTGGCCCCAGCGTGAAGCCTTGGGGCGGCTGTAGCCTGGGCTGCCCCTCAGCGCCCTGCTCCCGGCTTCCTGTCCTTGAGCACTGCAGGGGCCGTCGCTGGAGGGCGTCTGACAGGGCACCAAGGACGCCCGCGCAGAGGCAGGATACTCGCTGGCCCCAGGGCACATCCCCGGCCAGAACAGAGCGGCGTGGCATATGACGGGCTGCCTTCCGCAGGGCGGCCCCACGTGTGCGCGCCCAGCGCCTGGGTGAGGCGGGCTGCTGTGCCGGCGGCAGCTGCTGACCTGGCGCTCTTGGGAGGAGGGCCTCGCGAGCATTTTAGGCCATTGTGTGTGCTAAGGAAAGTTCCGGGATGGGATGTGGCTCTGTCCCCATCCTCTGACCTACTCAGTGGCAAGCTTCAAAAGTGACCCAAATGTGGAGGTCCATTTGGGCCAAGGAGTTTCGAAAAGAGCAGCAGTAGAACCCCTTATCTTTTTTTTAAAAAAGTTACTTCCTTCACTCATTTACACACACACAGCTCTGCCGTGTGAAAAGCAAGCAGAGGTGTTTTGGGTGAGGTCAGGGGACACCAGGGCCCACCGCACTTCCCTCAGACTTTGGAGATCCCCTCACAGTGCCCGCCCTGAAGCCTGTGGGGCCCGCTGCTCCGAAGTGTGGCTGACGCCCGTGTGACCCCGCCCTGCTGCCCTGGGGCCAGCCTTGAGGCGCACATGTCTCACGAAGCAGTCCTTTTGTCAGCTCTGGCACGCGGAAGGCGGGGGGGGGGGGGGCGGCGGGGGTCCAGGAGGGACTGGCCTCTCCGAGTCTGGTGTTGACATTTGCAGGAAGACTCGATGGCGACCAGGGAGCCAGGCCCGTCGCGGTCATGCTCTGAAGTGATGCGCCTTTCTCCTCTAGAGAGTAAACCTTTGGGGAAAGACTCCAAGAGTAAAGTGTCAGTCATAGCAGGACACACAGATTTAAACTTTCCCAGGGTCCCACAAGGACAGAGTATTGGTTTTACGTTTTGAAAATCTAAGTAGATAACGTTGACATGGTCCCAGATCCTCACCACAGTACACCCAGCAGGGTTTCTCATGGTCGGGACGGGGCAAGGGGCGGGTCCGGGGGAGCGGGCGCTGCCAGGGAGCGGGCAGGCAGGGCCCCAGGGGCCCTGGCCCTCTGGGCGCTGCGTGTCTGGGTGACCGTGGTCGCAGGGGACCAGGCGTGGCGAGGCCGGCGCTCAGGAGGCGGGCGTGGACGGCTGCCTCTCTAGTCCTTGGCACAGTCTTCTTCTCCTGGCTGAACTGGCCTCAGAGCTGCTTGTGTACAGAGCCCTAAGCTCCAAATTCAGCTGCTTACACTCAGTGGTCTTTCTCTGATTTCCCCCCCGTTTTCATCCAGACGCCATTTCCCAGGAGACAGCGCTCTCCTTAGCATGCCCCACTAATCTCTGAGGAGCCCTCCCACCCCCACCCTGCACCCCTCTGCCCGCAGCCTGCACCCCAGCAGCGGGCCTGGCGGGTTGACTGGTTTTCTCCTGCTCTCTCCCCAGAGTCTAAAGGAAGGCTTGACGGTGCAAGAACGTTTGAAGCTCTTTGAATCCAGGGACTTGAAGAAAGACTAACTGTTGCGTTCTGTTTGAACACACACCCTTCCCAGCTTGTGGCAGCACAACCCAAACGCTACTTTTCGTCTGTACCTTTATTTTTATTATTATTATTGTTATTGTCATTATTAACTGTGGGTATGGATGCATGAGAGACTGGTTTATGGGTTGTTCACACCATTCCCTGCTGTGCTGATTCCAGCTTCCTATTGTCTTTATCCGAGCTCTTCTCCGTGGCACCCTAAACAAGCCAAGCAGTGGGGGCTGCGAACGCCGCCTGCTGCCGCTGGGTCAGTGTGGGCGTCCCTTCCCGCTGCCGTCCGCCTCCCTCCCTCCCTCACTGTCAGTATTAAGGCCCAGCAGCCTGTCGATAAGCTCGCTCTGCCTCGCCGAGAGCACCGGGGAGGGCAAGAGTCGGCCCTGGGGCTGCAGCTCTGCTGCACACCGGGTCCCTTGGAGAGAGAACAAGCCGTCGGGATGTGGTTTTGCCTGGCTCACAACACTGACAACTCGCTAGCTGCCGGGGGAGCCGGGGGAGCAGGGCCAGGGCGGGGTCTGCACCACCTTTAGCTCGGGGGAGGTCAGCATTTTGTATTTGTTCCACTAATGCAGCCTAGAACCACACCCCAGATAATTGTGGTAAACTTTTCACAACCTTGAAAATGTCGAAAACAGCCTTTCCTATTTTTGTTTTTTATTAAATCTTGCACAAAACCCCACCCCTCTCATTCCTTCCTCCGCTCGGCCCTTTCTTGGTCACCAGTCACCCTGGTTTTTCCATGCCGGCCCAGCCTGTGGCCCTGCGGCCGGGGTTTTAGGCTCTACGTGGCTATGAGGACCAGCTCCCCCCGGGCATCATTCACAGGACAGACGGTCCCTTTCTGTGACCTCTCTGCACAGAAACCTCATGTTCTGAAAAGGTGAAGAGAAGACTCCTATGTTAAGTCAAAGAGAAAGTGCAGAGGATGTCAAAATCAGATGAGAACGGCCCATTATTTTGTGTTCTTGGCCCTGATGAATCTGAGATCTGAACAGTTCTCTTTTAGCATTGAGAGCCTAAAGTAAACCTGTACTAATAATTAATTGTGCTTTTTTAACAGGTTGAATAAGACCTTTTTAACTGCCACAAAACACTCTACAAAACTTCTTGTAAAGACCATAAATTGGAGTTTCTTTCATGGGCCCATAGAAACTGCTCATCCTGAGAGAAGGAGTATAAACCAACCAGGGGAGCCAACTCTGCTGCCTTAGCAGCGAGCAGCGGGCTGAGAGCAGAGCACGCGAGGGCGTGCCCACTGGCCGTGCCTGCGTCCGTTGGTCTGTGAGCGTGTTGCCAAGAGTATGCTTTCGCGCTGTTTTAATGCTTGCGTTAGTTTGTTAGTCTGTGGGTACACAGATACTTCAGGGGTAAAAACGTAGAGGACCATCATGACTGCCTTCATCTTGCTCAGTTTCTAGATTAGTGAACAAGGTCATTTGGGAAGAGCCCTAGAAAGGCCAGACGGAAGGCACCAGGTGCTGTCTGCTCACTGCAGTGGCCACGGAGCTGCGTGCTGGCCTCGGCCTTCCCTGTTCACACCCGTCAGCCCCCAGCCACTGAGCTCCTTGGTGGTTTGTTTTTGTTTTTTTACTTTTTTTTTTTTCTTTAATCCTCAGCTGAGGGCATCTATTCATTTTTAGAGAGGAAGGGGTGGGAAGAGAGAGAAATATCAATGAAGTAGAAACATCGATTGGTTGCCTCCCATACACACCCTGACCAGGAATCGAACCTGCAACCTTGGTGTACTGGGATGGTGCTCCAACCAACTGAACCACCCGGTGAGGACTCTTCCATGTTTCTAAAAGCAGGCGGATGTCAGCTCTGTTCTTTAAATTCGACTTAGCCGACAGCCCCTGCCACGTAGACTGGCAGCGGTTTTATAAGGACGGTAACCTTTCTGTGTCACGCTCAGAGTGGGCGCGAGGAGAAGGAATGTTTGGGACCTGCGGCCCTGCTGTCTCCAGCAGGTGTCCTCTGGGGCCGAGTGCTGTGACACGAAGCAGGTTTGGTGGACGGGCCCGTCCACCTGGTCTCTGTGTGGCTGCCTGGGCAGTAGGTTTTATGTCATCCCTTCCGAGAACTGGCCTCATCAAGCCGGTGTCCTCTGTGACTGCCCTCCTGCCTGGGGACTCGTCTCTCCAGGTGGCCTCATGCCTCTAGCGTCCGCGAGGCCCCTGGGCAGGCCCTGCACGGAGTCGAGCGCCCCCTTCCTCCTGTTGTGAGGGTCTGAAGTCTGCAGTGCTGTCGAGCAGGTCAAAAGAGCATTCATTTTACTGCCATGTCCCTTGACGTGAGAGCTCAGGACTCCTGGGGAACAAACGTGTTAGGTGCGGCGTTAGGGGGTCGGAGGGAGCTCTCTCACCACGGCAGCTTTTGTAAAGGACCCTCCCACTCACCCCAGAAACAACAGGGGCTGGTTCAGTCCCGAGGCTGCCAGGAAGTGGACTCCGGATGCTACGCTGGCTGAGGAATAAAGGTGCTCTTGCCGCTGCCCCCCCTCCCCCACAAAAGGCTGGTCGTGCTGCAGCCTCCCTGGGCCTGGCTGCCGTTTGGCATTGATAGCGCCTGCCAGGCTCTGAGCCAGGCCTGGACGCCCGGTGCTCAGTCCTGGTCTCCAGCTAGAACGAGCACACAGTGCAAAGAGGGCCTTCCCCCCCAGCCTGCGTGTCCACTGTGGTCCTGCCAGTCCCCACTGGACAGTGTCCCCCGAGTGCTTCCTGCATCCACCAAAACCCCAGGAAGAATTCAGCCACCTGACCACTGAGAAGAGAAGGAATAGCAGTATGGAGGTCGAGTTGGTTTCTGTGTTGCCGCAGAAAGGTCCCCGGGTCAGGGCTGAGCCGCCACAGGGCTGTGGTGGGGGACGGGGGGACAGTGAGCCCGGCTGCCCTGTGCCTGCTGCTCCCAGCATACGCCCCGCTTCCCAGGGAGCAAAATGTTACCATGCACAACTCTTTTTCCTGTAAATGTTTGCTGCTTTGCTTCCAGTCTGCAAGCAACTGCACGTGAACTGTGGCAAACATCAGTGGGAAGATTTCGTGGGGCAGTTTTGTGCACACACACTGATGTGCACACAGCGCGTGCATGCAATTTCCAGCTCTTTTCCCACACTGATGCCAGCGCCTGGGCAGATCCAAAAGCGGTCGCTCCAGCGGACTGGGGCCACCGGCAGCCTCCCGGGCAGAGGCGTGGTGGGGGGGGTGGGGGGTAAGGGGGCAGAGCACTCGGCCCCTGGAAATGGAAACTTGTGCAGTAAGGTGCCACCATGAGTCTGAATTTGTGGGGGGAAGTGAAGGCTGTCCTGGGGGGGCTGCTGCAGGCCGCAGCGCGGATGTGGGTGGGCGGACGCCGAGGTCAGAGGCCCCGAGCTCCAGCCGGTTAAGTGGCATTCACCCTGCGGTGTCCAGACCCAGGCCCCTGCTCATGGAGCCAACGCTAGGCATGGGGGTCTCACACAGGCTGCGCTTGGGAAGGGGGAGCGGTAGGCTTGAAAAGACACAGTTGTGACTCTTGGAATCTGCCTGAGAGGAATTCTGACTGAAAGGCCAGCAAACAAAATGCATGGCCTAAAAGGCGGTTTTTTATCGAGGTGTATTTATCGTACCATTTGTTTCACCACAGAAGAAGGGGGAGCACGGTCCTTTTTATCACTGTTCCTGGGGTTCCCTTTGGCAAGTCCGTTTTTGAACTCTTCCTGGGGGGCGGGGGGGTGCGTGGCACAGCAGGGCCGGGAGCCCGAGCAGCAGCCTGTGGCCTCCCTTCCCCAGCCCTGAAATGACGAGGGCGTGCGGGCGCCCGGCCGGCGCCAGAGGGGTGAGGGGCCGCGGCTGTGCTCCTAGGAAAGGTGTCTCCCCTCCTGCCCTCCCTGTAACTCCCCTGGCTCCTGAGGCCTAGGGCTGGGACGGGCAGCCCAGGCCCCGTTAGCCTCAGATTCCTGTCGGGCCTGTGGCCTGATCTCGGAGGGCAGGCTCGCGGGGGAGCCTGCTCTGCTTCCCTGCCCCGGACCCCTGCGCGGCGTCTGCACAGCTAGCCATGCTCGTGGCCGCTCGCTGGCGTGTCGAAGTCTCAGGCAGTTCTTCAGGGGTTCAAAGCTGTTTTCAGTTAGCGTGAAAAGAATACAATCCATCAACATTTATTTTTCATGAAAATAAAAGTTCATTATTGTTCTAAGGAAGGTTGATATTTAACATTTTCTTTTATAGATACAATTTCAAAAAAGGATTCAGTCATTCCCTTTATCACCAAAAGTGGGGGTGGGGTGGGATTTTAAGTATTTTCAAAATTTTACAAAGGACAGGCAAGTATATAGTATTATACTTAAAAGGGATTAAATGCTAAAAGAAAAAGATTTGGCACATTAATTGGAAGTTACACTTCTCTGGAAATGTCAGTGGAATATCTCACACCCTCAAAATCCTGGACAACTGAGTTACTGCAGCGTTGTTGTTTGAACGGTCGCCCTCATGTTCTCTCCACTCGGTTGAGATGGGTGAACAGTGCACAGCACCCTGGTCCAGGAGTCCCCGCTGGACCTTTATGAAAGGACTTGGGGAGAATGCTGCTGAAAACGTACTCTAAAGGTCCTTAAAATTAAGGCATTCGACCCCATTTTTTCCATCTTCCATCATAGGCTCTTCTCTCGCACCATGCTTGAGAGAGGAGTTAGTTACGAGACCGACCAGCTAAGCACCCCTCTCTTGGTGCAGACCGAGGAGCCGCCAGGGGGCTCCCCGTGGGTGTCAGGGACCTCACGCTTGTGGGTTAGCCAGGATGCAGACCCCTCCTCCGGCTTTTTTCCGTGCCACCGATCCCTACAAGCCTGAGCTCAGCCTCTTAGAAGGATCAGACTTCTAATCCTAGGACAGGTCTTTTTATTCACCTGACACCAGGTCTAAAGGTCAAGTCCTTCACCAAGTAGCAGGACACTGGAACACATTTCTTCCACACAGGCCGGGTGCGGTCAGTCCTCAGACTGCCCTTAGGAGACACGGGGGCTGTTGCCCTGTGTAAAGTCTTGTATGTTCTTCCATGTGCACAGACGCCTTTGGCAAGGCCACATTTTCCACAGTTGAAAACATAAATAAGGATCACCCTAAGGTGAGGTCTAGTAAAGCCTCTTGTTTTAGGTTCTTTCATAGGAAGACGACATAAACCCAACATGGCAATCAATGCACCTTGTCAGTTTCTCTCATTTTATCTGCTGGGAAAGACCTGGTCCGGCGCCTTTGTCCTCTGGAGCACAGTAAGTTTCCAGTCTTCCTGTGTCTCTCTAACGGGCAGAGGCCTGCCTTCTCTGAGGTCTTTCAGCAGGCGACGCCCCCAGAGCAGGAGTCGGCCCCCCACGAGGCCACCCCCGTGGGGGGCACGAGCGGCGGCCGCATCCCTCCAGGGGTCGCACGGGGCTGCGGCGGCTCCGGCTGGGGCGGGGGCGGTGCTCGGAGTGGCCTCCAACTCCTCTGTGTTGAAGAGCAGCTGGGGGTTTTCTTCAAAGTAACCTGTATGGTATCCAGAGTAGCAGTGTATCTGTCACTCGTTATTGCAGGGGGCGTTCTGTGACAGTATTTTGTTTTAATGGTGTACAGGCACTGCTTTTAAGCATAGGGGGAACAGCTTTGGGTACAACATTGAGCCCCACTCAACATAATAAGGAAATGCTTTTAATGACATTCTAAAAAGCATTGGTCATTGAACAGGTGGCTTAAAGATTGTAAATAGTATCTACAATAATGATAACCGTACACCCAAACATTGTTTTTCATTGGAAAAATTCTAATACTTGTTCTTGGTGAAACTATTTAAAACCCTGGTGGGTGGAAAAAAATATCCTGGCCGGCAGAAAATTAAGAGAATAAAGAACATGATGGTTACATCTTGACCAGGTCCTTTTATACAGTGATTTAAGACTTGTTAGGGGACAGTCTGGGCATCAGGGGTCTGTCTACTCCCCGGGTGGGTGTAGGCCACATGCACAGTCCAGCTGAGCGTCTGGACTTCCCCAGCTCTTGGGTTGTGCTGCGTGACAGCGTGAAGGTCGCAAAACTCAGAATGCTGTTATTTCACAATACACATCTATGTCCAGTAGGTAAGGAACCATGTACTCACAAAGTACTTAAGAGCTGGATGGTCCAGCCCGGGGGGATGTAGAAGTCTTGGGTAAACGCGGCGGCTGGCCTGAAATGGCAGCATCGCTGCGGGCCCTCCCCGACGGAGCTGGAATGCACAGGGAAGGAATCGTCGCATGTGGTCAGCGCCTGCGGCCTCCACGCTCCCTCTGCCCTTTGCGCTTCCCCCTTTACAACTAGTTATATATTTCAGTTTTATCTTACACAAAGCTAGGAATAGGTTAAGAAGGCCACGAAATTATTTTTATGTTTAATATCACAAAACTTCAATTAAAATGGGTTTTAGGATTTACCTTTAGTGTTTACGACATATCTACTGACTTGTTAGGATTCAAACAAGTTAAGAATTAATTCACGTGGTTTTCCTAAGTAATACTGACTAAGTGGTTCCACGACGATCATAATCAGTGATTTTTCTGTCAGGGTGAATGTCTCATTTCAGCTACTGAATACAAAAATATATTATGCCAACCTGCTGGGAGAGCTCATATATGAACAAAATGAGAAAATGTAGCTCGCTTCCCTGCTGTGAGGAGTCTAGAAGTAAATCACATCAGTCACTACTGCCGTTGCTAATTATTTCAACAGGCAGGCGACGTGTTGAAAGAACAAACTTGGGTAAGGTGTTTAATTTCTGTACTTATGTTAAACGATAATGTTCACCAGGCTAAATGTCACATGCAGAAGCAAGCAGTGGCCTAAGGGGCCCAGGTGACTCCTTAGCAGGCCCTGGGCTCTGCCAGACGCCTTGGGGTCGAGACAGCTCCAGAAGCAGAGACTGCCGGGCTGGGCACGACTGCCCGGCTGCGCGGCCCTGAAAAGGAGGGCCTGGGCCAGGAAGCTGCTCTCTGTTTTGGACAATTCAAGAACTTTCTGGTTTAGTTTGAGGCTCTTTTTAAAAATAAAGTTTCTGATAAACTGTTCACTACAACTGAAGTATTACTTTTGTCAAAATATTTATTCCTTTGTGTGACATGCTAGATTCCTATGGATATAGCTGATCGTTTCTATTTTGTAAATACTACCTAACATTACATAAAGTATATCATAATAAACTATTTTTGCATCACCCTTTGCATGCTGTGAATGAGGGTTGGTTTTTTTTTTAATGGAGGAACATATGCAAAATAGGCATTTAGGTCAAAAGTCAGAAACTCATCAACAGCCTACAGATTTATAATGAGGTTTTTTTGTTTTTATTACCTGCTTTTTTTTTTTACAGTGTTTTAAAAGTTTTGGATTAGTTTTCACCATTTTAAAATTAGATTTCACATAAAAATCCAGTTTCACAGTTCACATGCAATGCATAGTTATAAAAAATTTTGCATCCAGAATCTAAAGTACATTGGCTTAGTTATAGAGACCTTCAGGGGGCCGAAAGGGCAGCAGAACTACTGATGAGAGGAAGATCTATAACTCTCCCATACCTACTCCTTTATTAGATTTATTTGCAATAAAGTGTTACTTTCCATTTTTTTAAAAATACATCTTACAACGTGACCCAATACATACACACACACACCCCCCCAACCCGCAACCCAAAATTTGACAAAATACACCCTTTCTAGGATATACTCATAAAATGTCTCCATTCTATTTCATTTAAAATTCTAGTTGTAACCTACCAAATAAGTTGTAAATGAGGATTTTTTTCCCAATATTGCCACAAGCATTGAAGTAAGTGAAAATGACTGGGAATCCAAACTTTTATTCAGCTAAAAAAATTAAAGTCTGGGTACTTATTAGAAATCGACTTACGGAATTTATAAAACAAAATATAGTACACACATGTAAAGGATACATATGCTCAGTGTGTTATTCTGGTTTAAGGATGTTTCAGTAATTTTCTGCTCACTAAAGTTATTTTAGTCATACATACTGTAGTTCAACATAGTATTGTAATAGCTTTAACACTAATTTTTTTTAAAGTTATGTAAGTGCAATTTAAAACATCAGTTGGCATTTGGAAAATCCAACACCTTTTCATGATTAAAAAAATAAAAATTAGGAATAGAGGGGGACTTCCTCACCTGATAAAGGGCACCTAAGAAAAGC